AAAAAAAAAACCGAGAGAAGGGAGTGGCGAGGCGGAAGGTTTTAGTCTCTGGCTTTGATAGCGATTTTGACTGTCGGCAAGGCTTTCCGATTTTCTTGTGGAACCGACTCTCCGTAAAAAAAAAAAAGAAAAAAAAAAGAGAGACTCAGTCAGGTTGATGGAGGAGATGTCTTCGAACTAGGATCGGTATTAAATGTGCGGATTGGTGATGGTGAGATTCCGTCCAGATTCAGTGGAAGGGGGGGTGGAAGAGAGAGAGAGAGAGAGAGAGGACGAGCGATTACGTACGTCCAGATTCAGTGGACACTTGGACTTGTAGGGATTTTTAGGGACGAGGAGTATATAATATAGCTACTGAAGGCGTACCTAAGGCATGGCCGCAGTGCTTCGTGAAAAAATCAGGACAGTAGGGGACTTTCCCAGATGTATAGTATCGGTCATTACGTCCAGATTCAGGACACTGGGGACTGCAAACATCGGGGACTGCCAAGATGTATAGTACCGCTCATTACGTCCAGATTCAAATGCGCCCTTTGACTTGAGCCCGGGAGTTTTCTGAACGGGAAATCGCTACGGTAGTGATTCTTCTTTTCTTTTAGAATATATAAAAAAACAAAACAAAAAGGAGAAAAAACACAGAGAATCAAAACTAGGAATTCTATAAAAAAAAAAGGGGAAAAAAAAAAGAAAAGGGGATTCAATTCATCTGTGATCGGCCAATTAGCCACTGACACGTGGACTCACGCCGTTGAATGCATCACCGTCGTAATGATGGCCCGTCAGCAATCATCCGTGATGGTTATTACCGTCATCGTTGTCATCGCTATAATTCTGATCACTGCTGTCACTAGGGTCGCCCCGATCCCGACAGGCGCTGTGGAGGGTTATGGAGGAGACGTGCTCGCTGAATCAGCACCTGCTTCACCTGCTTCTGACTCAGACAGACCGGGCTTCGAACCCTTCACCGGTTCATCGGCTGACTCTGTACATGGCGCATCTGAGGCAGTGGATGGTCAAAGTCAAAGTCAAAGTCTTCTTAATGATCACGTGAACACGATGGCATTGGTCGTGATTCAAGGTTGGCCGAGGGCAAGCAGTGATGCAAATGGCGGAGAAGTCAAACCTTCTGGTCAAAGTGAGGAGGTCAAGGTCAAACCTGCTGGTCAAAGTTGGGGGGGGCATCAAGGTTCTGAAGCTGAGGAGGATGACTGGAGCAGAATGACTAAGGTTTCGATAGACGGTTGGCCGAAGTCAGGAGTTGGCGCAATGTCGGAGCAGGAAATTGAAAGATCCGCTTCTGGTCAAACCGAGGAGGTCAAACCTTCTTCTGGTCAAACTAAGTTCAAAGCGGCTGGAGCCATTTGGGGGGCGGGTAATCAAGGTCCTGAAACTGAGAATGAATGGAGCAGAGTGGCAAGGGTTGTTATTGATGGTTGGCCCAAGTCGGGAGGAATCGGTGCGAATGCCGAGGAGGTCAAACCTCCCGCTGGTCAAACTGAGGGTTTGAAACCTTCTGCTGGTCAAACTGAGGGATCCGAATCTTCTTCTGGTCAAACTGAGGAGGTCAAACCTTACGGTCAAACGGAGAAGAAGGTCGATGTCGATCCTGCTCCCGCTGGTCAAAAGGACGAGGTCAAACCTTTTCCTGGTCAAACTAAGGGGTTTAAACCTTTTCCTGGTCAAACTGAGGAAGTCAAACCATATGGTCAAATTGGGAAGAAGGTCAATGGTGATCCTGCTGGTCAAACCGAAAAAGCCAAAGTCAAAGATAGAGAGAAATGGTCAACGGTGCTCGAGGATTGGGGCAGGAAATTGTCAATGTTCGACGGTTGGCTGCGGATCGTTGGGGCTTATGGTAAGGTGATCAAAAGGGGTCATACTGAGGGGCAGATCATGGGGGATAATCAAGGTCGGAGTGCCGGGAGTGGATTGGACACCAATGAAGATGGACACGGAGGCATGGAGATGGGGCCGCTGGATGGTGAACACGTGGATGTCTCGTCGCATAACCTGAAAATATCCTTTGACCAGAATTCTGCCGTCGACCCCTTTGACCAGAACTCTGCCGTTGACCATTTGCATGCGGCTCGTTTCATCGACGAGGATCATGCTGCTGCTCCCGGATCGGAATCCTTGCATCATGGTGATATTAACGGCTTTGAACAGAGTCTGAGCCAGCGACCAGATACGTGGAAGTCGATCACAGAAGAAGAGGATGTGAAGCAGCAGCGGACTTCCTTGGATGGCGGCGAGTTGACCACCGGTAGACGGACTGTGAGTCAGCGACATGACCAAGCGAGTCGAATGAAGAACGACAGGGGCTCGAACCCTGACAAAGACGGCGGGCAGAGTGGTAGTAGAGTTGATGCTGCTCCAAAGAGCAAAAACATCGCGAGGAAGCTTGACCAGGGTTCGAACCCTGACGACGACAACAACGTTGCGCAGAGTCGCAGAGATGATCATGCTCCAGAGCTGGAAAGGAGGAGAAAAATGGACAGGAAAAATGTCGTCATGGAGCACTTTGACCATGGTTCAAACTCTGACCGCGACCGTGAGAATGTGATGCATGTTGACTTCGCTTTGCGCATTCGCTCGTGGAGAACGGACCGCGGCTCGAACCCACATCATGATGATGGTGGTCATGGTGTTATTGCAGGGGAGGGCTTGATGTCAATCAGGCAGCTGCAAGAAGGGAGCAGGAGTGATGACATCACAACTCATGGGAAGGAAACCATGGAAGCTCGGTCCGCGGTCCTCACCCATGGAGGGCAAGAAGTGGTGGCCTCATCAAGCAGGGAGGAAGTTTTTTTGTGGAAAAAGTTGGAAGAACGGCTCCAGGGAGAGAGCGAGACGGCGGAGGAGGAGAAGCAAAAGCGACGAGGAGAGTCAGTTGACTGGGAGAGTGGAAAGGCCACACAGCAGCGGAGTTTCAACCCCCAGGAGGAAATTTGGGGACACGGGGAGGAGGGGGAGAGGGAGGGGGAGAGGGAGGGGGATGTTAGGACTGATATGAAGTTAGAGAAGGCCGCCAAGGAAACCATTTGGCAGATGAAGGAGAGACTTGACAGAGGAGTTGAAAGAGGAGTTGAGATGGCGGGCGGGGGTCGGCAAAAGGTAGGAGAAGCAGTCTCTGGTGCCAAGGAAAAGGTGGGAGAAGTAGTTTGTCGTGCCAGGGAAAAGATGGGAGTAGTAGTTTGTGGTGCTGAGGAAAAGGTGGGAGAGGTGATTTCAGGCACCAAGGAAAAGGTGGGAGAAGTAGTCTCTGGTGCAAAGGAAACCGTGTATGGCATGAAAGAAAAGGCGGGAGAAGTAGTTTATGGCGCCAAGGAAAAGGTAGGGGAAGTAGTTGTTGGGGCCAAGGAAAAGGTGGGAGAAGCAGTTGTTGGCGCCAAGGAAGCGCTGCTTGAAGGAGCGTCCCTGGTACAGAGGAGAGTGCAGGAGAGCGAAGAGAGGGTTTTCCACCCCCAGTCCGGGGCGGAGAGGGCGGAAAGAATCAAGGCAAGGGAGAGATTCAAGGGACTTGATGGCAGCGAGAGGGATGGGGAAAGGGAGAGCGTATACCGAACCAAGGACTTTTCCTTAGGTGGGGTGTCCTCCCCCTTCTCACGTGAACCGAAGGAGGGGAGCTTGACGGGACTGATGACCGAAGAGGCAGGAGGGGGAGGAGGGGAGAAGGTGACCATGACGTTGGCGGCACGTGAGCAGGAGGGCAGATTTGCAAGTTGGTGGAGACTTACGAAGGACTGGGGCGGAAGAACGGCTTCCAAGATATACAGGGTTGCGGAGTGGGTAGGAGGGGCGATTTACGAGGCGCTGACAATGCTGCTGGCTATGATGGTGGTCATGTTCGATACGATCGTTATAGCGGTCGTGTATCTAAAAGGGGTTGTCGAAGGGGTGATTTGCAAATGTACCCCTGTGGCCAGTTACCTTATGGATTTTGCGAAGGGGTTATGGCGCAAATGTACCCTTGTTGCGAACATAATAAAGATGCAATTTTCGCCGATTGCGAAGAGACTTTCGTCGATCGTCGCGAAGATGTTATCCCCAGTAGTAGACGCACTGAGGCCCATTCTTGCGCAGTTCGCATATTATCCGGCGAGGACTATATACCAGCTGCTCAAACCAGTCAAGGAAAATCAGGTAAGTGCTTTGAATTGTTTCTTTTTTCATAATTCAGAATAATTATTTTATTGATTGAAATTATTCTGGTCATCTGGTCTGGTAATCTGCCTGGTTTCGATGTCTGGCCTGTATTTGAACAGTTCACGGGTATACTAACTACCGTCTTCACCCGAATAGAACGCCCGGTGCATCTGGACTGAAAAATGCCCCAAATACAGCTATAATGACCGGGCGTTATATTCGGGTGAAGACGGTAGTAAGTTAGGCCCAACAGTTCACAGGTATACCAACTTTTCTCTTTTTTTTTTTTTTTTTTTGGAGGGAAGGGGGCAGGGGGGGAGGACTGTGGTGTGGTACTTGACCCTTCTCTCTCTCTCTCTCTCTCTCTCTCTCTCTCTCTCTCTCTCTCTCTCTCTCTCTCTCTCTCTCTTTCTTTTTTCCCCAGCGTCCCTTACGACTAAGGTTATACTTGACGGCTGCAGCAGCTAAGGTTATGAATTTTTATGATGATTGACCGCGACAACCTCGATCTGAGTGACGAATGAGTGGAAGGATTGAAATTGAATTCCCTTGGTGGTGTAGGGTCCACTGTCCAGGTTGTGCTGTGGGGAAGGTGAAGGTGTCACGAAATTAAAACCCATATCATCTTGGGAAGTTCTTCTTCTATATTTTATTATTTCCCATTGTATTTGAAGGACCTGACAAACCGAGCTAACCTGAGGCTGTTTCCCGAGTGTCCTCAGACCGTATCCGATGCTTTTCCGAGGCCGTGGCTGTGGTGGGGCTCCTCCCAGAGTAATATGTCTCAGTGACTCCCCGAATGCCAGCCTGAGGCTGTTTGCAGGCTGTGATGACACCCGGGATGCTTCTATTACCTTGCCTTAGTTGTCTAGAATAAAATTGTCCAGGTTTCTCCAAGTCTGGGCTGCTGCGCACGCCGCACACTGCCAGGTCCTTTTAAACAGTTGCTTTTTTGGATTCCTACTCAGACTGCGGCCATACTGGGGTGCTGCTCATCGCATCAGACCACACTGTTGCCGTTCTGGGGTGCTGCTCAGTGCTCATCACATCTGCAGGCCTGTGGTGTTCCCCTTGGGAGAAGCAGGTAGGCTGTCCCTAGGTTTTCACCCCCGCTGAGCTACTCCGCGGCCACACCTTGGCTCTCCCACCAGTCCTTTCCAAGGTTCCCTAGTAGCCTACTGATCGGCTGTGGCCAAGCTGGGCTACTGCTTGGCTGGGCCTAGACTGGGCCCAGACTGGGCATAGGCTGAGCCTAGACTGGGCATAGCTGGGCCTAGACTGGGTGGGCCTAGACTGGGTGGGCCCAGACTGGGGGTAGACTGGGACTACTGGACTGGGCATAGTCCGGGCCTAGACTGGGACCAGGGTGTGGACAGGTTGAGGTATTGCTTGCAGGAAGTGGCTAAAGACCAGCTCTGGAATTAAAATTTGCCCATTGGTAGTAATTAATAATTATGAATAAAATTCAATAAATTAATTCTAATCACTAATTTATAGTGATTACCAGCTTGTAGTGATTACTAACTGGTGGCCACAATTACTAAAAAAAAAACTAAGGAGAAGAAATTTACTTATTAAATTACTAATAGTTAATATAGGCTACCAGAGTGGTCCGGGACCACTTGTACGGGCCGGGCCAAAAAAGAAAAGGGTGAAGAATTTCTATGTGACCCTGAGGCAAAAGCTGTTCAGTTAAGTTTTCTGCATAACATAGTTTGTTTTCGGAATTTTTGGAGTTCGTTTTTTTTTTTTTTTTTGCTGGGACTTTCCCTGGTCCTTGCACGGCCAGGCTGCCCAGGAACACAAGGTGACCCGGGCAGCCCGGTTGGTAGCTCAGTTAAATAAATAACTAATTATCCGCCTTATTAAATTACTAATTGTTAATTAGTAAATAATTAATTAATTAATAGCCAATTAGTAGTTACAAATTAGAAATTGTCCATCTTATTATTTAATTAGAATTCCTAATTAGTTACTAATTAATAATTACTAAAATCAACGGAGAAGCGAATGTTACACAGTGGTCAGATCAATTAATTACATATTAGTAACTTGATAATAATTATTGGTTTATTAAATTATTTCAATTGTTAGAATTAATATATATCGATGTAACTGGAGCGCAGTACACTACCCCCCCCCCCCCCGGCCCCCACCCGACCCCACCCCTCCCCCGCACCCTGTCTCTCTGGCACAACAGCAAGTCTATTACGCCATAGAGCTGTGGACCGTGGTTCTCGTGCTCTTAGGGGTTGCAAGCATTTCCGGTGTGGTGGTAATTCTGGATGAACCTGGTCCGATTAACCGACCAGGTTCATTCTTAAGGATTCGGGGCCTGCTGTAGGGAACTGGGGCTTGATCACGCTCGTCATGAAAAAAACTATTTTTTTAGTTCTTCTGCTACACACAGGCTCTTGATCTGCTGAGTTAATTTTTGACTGTGGGATTCAATTTTGTCGTTGCTGTTGTCGCTTGGTTGTCGTGATGCTAATCAAAACAGGTCGTGATCGGCATAGTGAAAACCGTTCACCTCTTGGCTTTTGTCTGTGGTTTCGGAACATCATTTTGGGTCAGTTACGTCGGAGGCCGGATCTTGATGGAGAATCTGCCACTTCATGAATTCAGATGTATTCAGAGCGTGATTTATCCGACATACCTGCAGCTCCTGGCGTTTGCCAGCGCCGGATGCGCAGCCGGAATGTCCTTCTTCCAGCCCCCTTGGAACGCAAGCTCCCGGTGGGACATTTTCGAGTTCACTGTGCTGTCCTTGTCGTGGGCCCTGACTTTGGTCAACGAGTACTACCTGGAGCCAGAAGCCTCGAAGGTGAGTTTAGTCCTTCGGGACATCCGTTAAAATTGGAACGATACACAGAGAGAGAAGATTAGCATGGCCCCTGCGCACTCAAGGATGACACGCGTAAATGGAGAAATGGTCCAAGTTCAGAAAGAAGTAAAAAAAAAAAGGTGACTTTATATGTGTTCTTGAAGTGCTTAAGAGCTGGGAGATCGAGGGTTCAAACCCTCGAAGCTGAAATTAATGGGTGTGATTAAACTGTTTGAAGCTAGGATGTTTGTCTGGGCGCCTGGGTGCCCAACTTGTGGCCGGGTACACGCCTGGGGGCCTGGGCCCGGGCATGAACACCAGGCAGGGTCCCCGGGCAACCCTAGCGCTAAGAATCCAGATCGAAAAAGATGTTGTGTAGAATTCTAATAAAAACGACTCTTAGCTGAGGGTCAAGTCAGAATTCCTTACGGAATCCAAGTTAAAAAGAAGAAAACAACAGAATCAGACTAAGGCACCCCCCTTTAGACCCCTTTAGCACCATAAATGCCAATTGATACCCCGC